TGTCGAATTTTGAGGAAGTCAATGAGTTTAATCCATTTTGGAATAAGGCTGTAACATAAAAAAAAGTGGACAAAGTGAAGCGCTATTAATACTTTCCGGATGCACTGTGTAGCACAACAGTTTGTAATGTTTTGATTTAGTGGCTAATTCGTAATCATTCATACATTTTAATACAATCTTCACATTTCCCAATGAGGGGGTAGTAGTGGGGTTTTGAGGCAAGCTTCTTTTTAAAAATTCATACAAATAAAATCATATTACTTCATGCAAATTCTTGAAAAAGTAATATTTTCCATATATATATATATATATAGATATATACACTGCTGTCTTGCTTTATCTCATACACCACTATTTTAAAAGGTTATGAAAAACCAAATCAGTGTCTGACCATCTGAGATTAGACATGCATATGAATATTACGGTCCTAATTTTCATCACACTGGGAATATACTGTACTATTTGTTATTCACTAAGGCATCTGATTATTTTGACCTGAAACGTGACATCAAACTTAACGAGCGAAAAAGGGAAAAAAAGGTTTTATGTCAATGATTTTTGTTCATTCACAAGGCTTTTCCGAGAATTCCAAACCACTGAGAAATATTTTCCCTTTCAATCTCATATTTGTTCCGACACCATGTCCACTTGGGCAACTGTGACAGATTGATGAATTAAAAAAAGTCAGACTGCAGGATATCATCCGCCCTACATAAGAAAACAGACACTTAATTACTGGCCTATGTGTTTTAATTTCAAGCATATAATCTACTGTTTACATATTTATATTTACATCATTTATATTCACTCACTGCTGCCATACAGGGAGAGAGATGCACGATAAAGACCCTGACGCAGAGATTCAAAACAGCCCGTGAATCCAACACACTCTTTTCTCAGAAACAATGTTACAAACTTTAGAAAACAATAGTCACCATGTGGTGTGATTTCTTCATTTGTGTAAAATACATCATTTACAGTTGAGAAAAGCTCACAGTATTACACTCATGGACCCATGGGAGAATGGGCAAGCCCTAATGTTCATGCAGGTGAGAATCAAGGCACTCCGCAGGGAGACTAAAGTAACACTTTATATATGTATATATACACACTGATCTCATAAAGCCTTCTGCGCATCACTAAACACAAGTTTTGACGTCTTTATTTCCTTTGTACAAAGTCATCTTGCTTCCTCAAGGCAAAATCCAGCAGGTTTCCGAACAAATCTAGAAGCTCTTTAAATACTACAGGGTAAAGCAGCTTGTCTTTGTTGACAATATCTAGGTCGTGATAAAGTATGGCTTTCAAGTCAGGTGTACAGTAGCAAGGGCTATAAAATCAAACACAGGCACCCTCAAATGGTACATCAGATTCACTCCTATTATATCTTAATGCTGTCATGCACATTAGCAGCTCCTTGATTCTTAAAGAGACAGTAAACAAAACAAAAAATGAAAATGCTTTCATCGTTTTATACTTTTATTCTTGGTAATGGTAAATGAAGATTTTCATTTTTGAGTAAACTATCCTTGTGAAAAAGAAGTGCAAACTGAATATGATATTTTGCTGTATGCGAAGGGTTCAATCATTAAAAAATGAAAATTCTGTCATCTTTACTGACAAACCCAGCAGACTTATGTTCATCTTCAGAACACAAATGGAGACTTCTTTTCTTTTAAATAAAATTTGACATATTTCTGTCCACATTTCTGAAAATGTCACTCAAGTTGAATGATCAAGTAGTTTTCTGAATGTACACAATCACTTTATGTGATAGTCAAATGTAGTTTACATAAACAGAAGCTTACCTACGCTGGCCGAGAGAGCATAACGCGCTAAAATTTAAGAAAACGCATGCAAAAACAAAAACACAGGCAAATTAAGAAATTATCTTCATCAGTTTGACAGCACACGTTGCAAATTCTCACAACACAAACAACTGAAGAAACGCTCTCCATTTGGTCACAACATTTGCAAATATCAGAAATGTTTCAAGGGGACCCAAAAACATGACAGACCCTTCTGAGATATGGATGTGTTATTATGTCGTGACTGTTGCTTAATGACAATGTTGGTAGTCTTAAAAAGGTGAGTTTTTTTTTTATTTGTTTAATATCCTGATTATACGATTCGGTTGTATTTTGTAAGTTATTAGCCTAAATAAAATGATGATTAAATGTAAAGTGTTGTTTTAATAGTATGCAGCGCGTTTGATAAATACTGTGCATATCTTAAGTTGTTTATGTTGTGACAAAATGCAGCGCATTTCTTCAGTTGTTTGCATGGTGAAAAAATGCAGCACATTGCTTTGGTTGTTTGTGTCATGACTAAATGCGGGGTGTTTCTCCAGTTGTTTGTGTTGTGAAAATTTGCAACGTGTGCTGTCAAACTTATGAAGATCGTTTCTTTATTTGCTTGTGTTTTTCTAAACTGGAGCACGTTAAGCTCTCCCGGCTAGCTTAATAATCAATTTATGCTTTAAATGACAGGAATAAATCAACCTCATTGGTGGTTAATAAAAGGCTAAATAAAATCTCAAATCTGTGATGTCTCTTCACAAGACTTGGATCAAACCTTGTTGATTTATTTATTTATTTTTTATTTCTTGTTTTGAGCGTCAGAGTTTTAGATGACCAGATATTTAGCAAAAGGACAGAAATCTTTGAAATTTGATCAAACTATACCTTAATCTGTGTTCTAAGATAAACAAAAGTTGTATGGGTTTGAAATGCTACAAGAGTGAGTATTGATAACAGAATTTTCGTTTTGGACTAAGACTTAACTAAGGTTTTTATTGCGATTCAATTAAACGTGTTTAAAGTACTGAAAGGAATAGTTCACACAATAATTAATTTTAACAATTAAATTAGATAAAATTTTACAATTAAAAATGAGCTTATCCTTTACACTCCCTCATGTCTGTAAATTCAAACCTTTATGAGTTTCTTTCTTCTGTTGAGCACAAAAGATGATATTTAAAAAATAATACTGGGACCCATCGACTTCATTAGTAGGAAAAAAATGTAAGTCAATGGGTCTCAGCATTTTTCAAAATATCTTCTTTTGTGTGAAGTGAACAGAATTTTCAATTTAGGGTGAACTATCCGTTTAAATTCATGTATATGCAACTTAAAATAAAAAGTGTCTCACTCAGCTTACCTAATAATATTATTATTTGTAACTATATATATATATTTTTTTTTTCTTTTAAAATGTAAGTCTGAATGTACTGAAAAGCATTTAGGGTGAAATAAAAGTACTGTTTAATGTATTTAAATATATATTTTATATTTAAATATTATATTTAAATGTAAATATTTACACATTTGTGATTATGAATTTGCAGTTTAGCACATTTGCAGTATAGTACCTTTAAATGTAATAACACATCACAAAAAACAAACTCCAGTTCAAATGATAAGAATACATCACATGTGCTTTAGTATGATAGCAACACATCGAGAAAAGTATAATGCCTTAAAACAGAGGTTCCCAACAGAGGGTCCTGGCCTTAGCTAGTTCTGTGGGGGGTCGCGTCATATTTAAAAAAAAAAAAAAATTTTCATTGGACAGTTAGGAGAACGATCATGTTGGTTTAGTTCATTTTATCCCCTGAAAAATGGCCAATGTTGTAATTCGTCAAAAATTCGTCTCACTGATTCGCCTTCAGCAGCTAATACTAATGACCCAAGCATACTGGACTAAGGTGAGGAAGCTCTAAACATTTCGGGTTGCAGTGCTAGCAATACTGGAAACACGAAATGCAAATACCTAAATAGCTACCTGAGCTACAGTTTTATTCCATTTTCTCGAAGCAAAGAGTCCCTGACACGGTTTTGTTTTCTGTGCCAAAGTTTTTGCTTATAAATGCATGAGGACATCCAAATAAACAAGACATTTGCAGACAACTCATCCCCAATACAGCAACAAGCCCAGAGCATTTTTAATTTTTTTTGCAAAAGAATTGACACACATCCAAAATGATGGACGACACAGCAACTGACAAGACACTTAAAAAACTTTTTAAAAATTGGCAACTAATTGGCAACTAATATAGGGTCAATGTTACGTTTTTCAGTTACAAATGGCCTACTGATGTTTTGCTTTTATATTTTACATTAGGCTATTATTTGTGGATAAACATACAAATTTATTTTTTCCCCAATTTCTGTTTGACGGAGAAATAGTTTCAACACATTTCTGAACATAATTGTTTTAATAACTCGTTTCTAATAATTGATTTATTTTATCTTTGCCATGATGAAAGTAAATAATATTTTACTAGATATTTTTAAGACACTTCTATAGAGCTTAAAGTGATATTTAAAGGCTTAACTAGGTTAATTAGGTTATCTAGGCAGGTTAGGGTAATTGCAAGTTATTGTATAACTTAAAATGTTTTTTTTTTTTTTAATTAAAAACTGCTTTTATTCCAGCCGAAATAAAACAAGTAAGACTTTCTCCAAAAGAAAAAAAACATTATCAGACATACTGTGAAAATTTCCTTGCTATGTAAGACATCATTTGGGAAGTATTTAAAAAAGAAATTAAAATTCAAAGTAATAAAATTCAAATTCAAGTTTATTAATATTATATAGTAATAAACATACTGTTTGTTTGAAAACAACAGTTTTTGTCATCCTTACTGCAAACATATTTGAGCGATACTATCATTAAATGTTACCTTACAAGGGCCTTGCATCATTTTCCAGGGGATAAGGGATACTCAGGCAAAAAAACAGATTGGGAACCACTGCTTTAAAGCATGACAACAGATTATAAAACCACAATGAATTAATATATTCATCAAAGCAAATCTTTTCCATTGACTTTTTGAAAGTACAACAATGTATAGAGAAACTTATTCATGAAAGTGAACTCCCTTTAAGCACACATAAGTGCCTTTATGTTATCTTAAACTAACAAGTGCAGATTCATTACAATCAGACACACTTCTTTTTCACAAGGGCATCCCTTTAAGTTGTCCTCTTCTAATTTCCTTTTTTAATTGTACCCAAAGCAAAACCAAGTCACTTATTTATAATAAAGCATCATGAATGCTTAGGTTGCTGGCATAACATAGTCTATGCATGTTAGATCAACTCTAATACTGTATACTTATATACTGCAGTAGGGATTGAGGTCAGTTTATAATACAGCTGCATGTTCAATAAGCAGATATTCATAGGTGTATGCTACCCTCATTCAAGTAATTTCCTAGGTCAAAAGTGTGCATTTATTTTTCTACCACACATCACTGTGGCCCACACTATGAAGCAAATAACTCTTAAAATAAAACCCCCTCATAAAATATCTATACAGGCATTCTTGCACAGGCAGAACAGCTTAGATCTTTGTGAATGTGCATTGTTCCACTGAGTAGAAGCTCATCAGTCTGTGAAACAGCTCTGCAGTTGCTGCGTTTGAGCACAAGAGGGCGTCATGCTCTGTTCCTCCAGTATGCGTGCTAAAACCACCAGACGATCCGATGGCTGATGGTTTTGAGAGCGGAGGCCAGACATGGAGCATGGGTGTTTATGCGCTTCATAGATCACATCAGCAAGTGAAGCTCTCCTCCAGTAAGGTGCCATTACGAGAAGACACCTGAACACCAGTCGTGAGGATTCTTGCTGTGGTTTTGGGGTGCAAAGGCACACCAGCAAAAACAGAGGGAATGGAGGTATGGTAATGGAGGACGGCGCTCTAAGGCTTCAGAGAGAGAGAGAGAGAGAGAGAGGTCAGGCCAATGATGAAAACAGATTCGGAGCAGGAACCACTAGGGCACGAACACTGCTACACACACTTCTCTCTTGACCCTGAGCGTGTGTCCGTAGCATCTAGGAACGATAGTCCTTCTTACTGTAGGGCTTGTTCCCAAGTATATGATCAATGTCTGAGACCACATGAGACGTCATCTTTGGAAGTACCTACATTTGAGAATAAATTCATTAGGAAATTATTAGCTGGATAGAAGTTCAATTCATAGTTTTAATGTGACATCACAGCATTATAAAAACATTCATGGAGGGCAAAAACAAGGCTTTCCTTCTTTGATGGACAATTTCATTCAGCTGGTCTCTGGGTCTGACGGGAGCACTTTTAGCGTAGCATAGACCAAGGAATTGGATTTAACCAGTAGCATCTTGTTCAATGGTTTAACACTTTGTGATTTCCCAAAAAAGAGGAGTGTTCTATAAATATTTAAATTTCAAGTGTGTGTGATTTACTGGGATGACAACGGTCTCAGGTACACTGGTACTATGAAGTACACATTTGCTAGAAATGTGAACATTTCAGGTAAAATAGAATTTTTGATAAGATACTGCCTCAATGACAGGTGTATGTTGTCTACCTAAAAAGAGTTACGATTCCAACTGGCACACAACATCATAAGACGTTATTGTTAGGTTAGATTTAGGTCAAGACAGCAGGTGACTAAAAATCAATGTCTAGCCACTGTCTAAGGACAACGTTATTTTGACATCCAATATCAGGGGGAAATTCCGGGAGTTTTCTGGGAAACAGAAAAAAACAAAAGATGGGTATGAAAATACGGGAGACTCCCGGGAAAAACGGGAGTGTTGGCAGGTATGCATCCTGTGGCAGCAGAGATGGGACAGAAGTTTCTGAATCTTTTCATTGGTGGAGAGAAGGCCTGAAATTGGACCATGAAGTTTTTTTCTTCTCAAAGTGGCTTTGCTGTGTTTCACAGAAATAAAATATGCTGTCTTTTTTGAATATTTGCTTATGTGTCATCTTGCTAGGATGCTGTTTAACATCATTTTCTTGCTTTATGGTAATGGAGACTAGGTACTGTGGTACCAGGTATCTTATTTCTGGGTGCATCCCATGTCAGAATCTCCTGTTTGAATCCCACAGTTTGAAGTGGGTGGAATTTTGCACTATTAATAGCCCATTTCCACTCGCCAGTATAGTGTGATACGGTTCGGTACGCTTTTATGGCCGTTTCCACTGTCAAAAGAACTGTACCATACCACTTTTTGGAAATACTTTCGGAAGGGTATCTAGCACAACAAAAGGGTACCAAAAGTCAGAGCAAGATGTGCAGCTGAACACTATTGGTATACAGAGATAAGTCACTAGCTTGTACACAAGCAGGAAAATTAAAACAAAGGAAGCGCCATTTTTAAATACAAAGCTAAGACATTACAAAGTAATAATATATACATATAATAACGAGCCATTGTCGACCTGAGCTTAAACAAACCTTGTCATTGTCTTGATGAACAGACATAAAACCAAGAACAAGAACAAGAACAGAATCTATCCTGTGCAACACAGTTCTTACTAGGCTGTCTAAAGCGCGAACGGTTTCGCTTTCTCACGTGTTGCATATTTGAAATAACAAACTTCTTGAGCTGATAATAATAACGTGCACATAATTATTGAGTTGCTTCTGACATCCGATCCTTTCAGAAACTGAAAAACACAAGAGTGAAGCATGAAAAACAAGATTAAAGATGAAGATGAGAGGTTTGCACTGACTGTGAGCTATGTTGCGTGTTGTTTTTGATCCCAAATAAAGACTAAATGTATGCTGTGTGTAGTTTTTCTGTAATTGGTAACATAAGGATCTGTGTGGGTTCATATTAGTTGCATTTATTTATTTATTTGTATAATTGCAGCCATTACAGTAGGCTATTTTACAGTATCATTGATCTGCAGTTATAATCAAATCATGTTCATAGAAAGGTTTTAAATGAGCATTTATGTATTTATGTGTATCAAGCCTCTGTTTCGTGAGAAGTGCTTCTCATATGATGTGTGAACGACCTGTACAGCTATACTTTGATATTTCATAGAGCGCGAATGACATCGACTGAAACTTTCTTTTTGCCAACCAAAAGGGTACCATTGGTACTTTTGGCAGCGCAAAAGCAAGCCTGATAAAGGAAACCCATACCGACCCAAACCGTACTGGTAATGTTTTTCTTGTTACCAAGTGTTTTAGAATATCCCACCATTTGTAGTAATTGAAATACTGCAGCAGGTGTCTAAAAAGTTGCTGTTGCATCATTTATCTGGTTTTGAGAGATTTCCTTCCATGAAACTTGACAGTTCTATTTTTTTGCCCTCCAGGTCTCTCGCAACAATCACATGACAGAAACTTTTGCTTACCTGTATGGCTCCCAGGTTTTCAGTTAGCTGTTCTGCATTGGAGGTTCCTAATAGCACTGAACTCACTCCCTCATTCCTCAGACACCAGGCTGCAGAGGAAGGGACAAAACAATCTCAGACCATTATACTTTGTGAACATTAGGAGATGGAATGCACTAAAGCAGGGGTTCTCAAACTCTACCCTGGAGGTCCGGTGTCCTGCAGATTTTAGCTCTAACTTGCCTCAAAACACCTGCAAGGATGTTTTTAGAACACCTAGTAAGAGCTTGATTCGCTAGCCCAGGTGTGTCTGATTGTGGTTGGAGCTAATATATGTAGGACAACGAACCTTCAGGACTGAGATTGAAAACCCGTGTACTGAAGTAAGGCTGTACTAGCTCTAAAGTTTACAGTTAACAGGTAGCACCACAGGAAAGATGGCTCTTTGTCTTCCTCTCTATGGAGGTCTTGGTGGGAGAGTCTTACCTACGGCGAGCTGAGGCAAAGTGCAGCCCAGCTTCTCTGCAATGTGACCCAGTTCTTTCAGCTTCGCCTGCTGCTTGCGTCCATCCTCGCTGACTATCTTCTCTTTCAGCCACTGGTATGACTTCAAGACAAAAACACAAGAGTAGACAAGCAGTGTCAGATAAGTAGAAGGAGAAAATAAATATTTGATTTATATACGCAGAAGAAAAAGGTCTGGATACCTTCATAGATGCTCTGGAGGAGTCTGGGATACCGTTTTCATACTTTCCAGTAATGATCCCACAAGCCAAAGGTGACCATGTCATGGCACCGACACCTACAGAATCAAGGGAATATTTATCACCCAAATGAACAGCTGTGATTTGCTGAAGCCTAATCAGTATTCAGTGATTAAATGGGATGATTGATTGATTGATTGATTGATTGATTGATTGATTGATTGATTGATTGATTGACACATGCCTATCTTATGGTAGAGCTCCGGCAGCTGCACCTCAACCTTCTCCCTCTGGAACAGATGATACTCGGCCTGCTCACACACTGGAGGAATCAGGTTAAACTGTCTTGCCACAGAATATGCCTCCTAGAAAGAAAATAAAATACAGTTTTTATACCTGCGATAGCTGCAATTCACTTCTTGACAAGGACTGCAGTTGTAGTTAGTCAAAAACTAACAACAACAAAAAATCTTGTTTTCTCAAACTATTGTTTTGTTGGTATCAAACACTCATGTCTGTCATTTAATCCTATTTCACTATCAAACAGCATAGATGTTGGCGTAGGTTGAAATGTCCAAATGTTTGCTCTAATAATATTCATTCACTCATTTTCTTTTTAGCTTAGTCCCTTTGGTAATCAGGGGTCATCACAGTGGAATGAACTGGCAACTTATCCAGCATATGTTTTACGCAATGAATGCCCTTCCAGCTGCAACCCAACACTGGAAAACACCCACACACTCTTGCATTCACACACTTACACTACAACCAAATTAGCTTATTCAATTCACCTATATGTCTTTGGACTGTGGGGGAAACACCCAGAGGAAACCCACGCAAACACAAGGGAGCACATGCAACTCCACACAAAAATGCCAACTGACAGAGCCTGGGCTCAAATTAATGACCTTCTTGCTGTGTAATATAATATAATATAATATAATATAATATAATATAATATAATATAATATAATATAATATAATATAATATAATATAATAATATACACTGACACTGTAATTTCTGTGATTCCTTAAACATACAAAAAACACAAAATTCAATAATGGAAATGGGATTTACTTTTTAAGTCATCACACAATTTTACATATATTTAAAAACAAAATTAGGTAAACGCCTACTACAAAAAAAAGACTATTTAAATAAAAACACCCCTTAACAGTATAAAAACATGAAAATAAAATGTTTAATTTGAAAAAGTTGTGACATAAATAAATGACTTAAATGACATAACACAGTTAATATTGGACAGTATATATGCTAACTTTTCAAGTGAGTAATAATTAAAATGATTAATATATGTAAGATATAAAAACATATTTTACTTTTGGTAGGGGTAATGTTATGATCACCAGCTACAACTACAGCTATGGACTTTAAATCCACCATTTATAGACTACAATATCCAGTCATGCACCACACACAACCGGTTCCTGATCATGACTGATTGCATACGCACGCACGCACACACACACACACACACACGCACACACACACGCACGCACACACGCACGCACACACACACACACACACACACACACAGCTGATACTTGTGATCATTGATTATTTGGACTATTTTCACCCCTCTGTTCCACACACATGCATTGTTAAGCTGTTGCTGTCCTTACATAAGCGGATTTCCTTGTTTTCTGTTTCCAGTGTTTTTGACTTTGGACTGTTTATCGTGTTTTGATTCCTAGCTGCTTGCCCTGAACCTCTCGCCTGTTTTTATATTATGCTTCTGGATTGTCTACTATACTGTTTGTGCAGGTTTTTGATCCCTGCCTGTATGTCCGTTCTCGTAATAAAACTGCAATTGGAACTACCCCTGTCTGCATGGCATCCATACGCAACAGATAACTTCTACTGCTGCACAATAGAGAACATCTTGACCAATTGCGTCACAGTCTGGTATAGGAGCTGCTCTGTTGCTGACCGTAAGGCACTGCTGCTGGTGGGGAAAACTGCCCAACGCATCACAGGGACTACACTGCCAGTCATAGAGGACATCTAGAAGAAACATAGTCTGCGCCGAGCATGCAGTATTTTAAGAATTCCTCTCACTCTGCTCTCAGACGGTTTTCTCTCCTGCCTTCCTGCAGGTGCTTCAGGCTCCCCCGGACAAAATCCAGCAGACTGAGGAACAGCTTTTTCCAAAGAGCTGTCTCCCTTCTAAACTCCGCCCCTTACTGACTCCCCCCACTCTCCTCTAACTTATACTCCTCACAATTACTGCACTATTTTACATTTGCACATTTAAAAATTGCACATATTCATTGCACTACATTGCACTGATTCACTTATTTGAACTGTACATACCCACTGCACATGGACATTTGTAATTATGTACACACCCACTGTATATATACATTTGTAATTGTGTATCTATCTGCACACTTCTGATTATTAAAAACAACCTGTACAAATATTAATTTATTGTAAATCTCTGTTCATAGCTAATACAACCTGTATATAATGTTCACAGTACATCCATCTGTAAATATCACCATAGTTTTTCTATAACTCCACTTTATAACTTATACCTATAGCCTGCACTTGCTGCTGTTGCACTGCTGGTCAGACCTAAACTGCATTTCGTTGCCTTGTACTTGTACATGTGTAATGACAATAAAGTTGAATCTAATCTAATCTAATCTAATCTAATGAAATGGCTGTAAAACTATATAGAGTTGATTATAGAAAGTCAGCACAATTGTGAAATTTTAAACTAATTTAACCATTAAAAAGATATCCAGACAAAATAAAAAAAGTAAAAATTGTAAAAAAGGTAGAATTTGGAAAAAAAAAGGAATTAAATAAACAAGTACACTGCACTTTAAAATCAGTTTCGTTCCAAGACATAGCAGGTTTACACACATTTTAAAAAATGAACTTTTTTAGCTTGTTGCTTATAAGGAAACAGGTTTACTAATTTTTGAAGTAACTAATCACATTTACAGTGTAAATATACTTTATGAATAAATTATCATTTTATAGAGGGCTATAAATATTTGGGCATATATAGGCAGGACAAAAATGAAGGTATGGTACGTTTTCTAGGTAATTCAAGGAAGAAACTTAAAAGTAAATTGATTCATTTTCCTTCAGCTTAGCCCCTTTTTATCCAGCATATGTTTTACACAGCAGATGCCCTTCCAGCCGCAACCCAGCACTGGGAAAGACACTCATTCACACACATACACAACGGCTAATTCACCTGCATATACCAAATACACCCGCATGTCTTTGTCTTACCCGGAGGAAACCCATGTGAACATAGAAAGAACACGCAAAGTCCACACAGAAACGCCAACTGACCCAGCCGAGGCTCTAACCAGCGACCTTCTTGCTGCAAGGCGACAGTGCTAATCACTGAGCTACTATGTTGCCTAAAAGTCCATTACTAATGAAAAATTTATAAATAAAAAAGTGTGACATCTATTTAATCTTGGTCACTGATATACACAGTGTATGGTAATATGCCACTAACGGTGCTGCTTCAGGCAGTGAACTTGTTTTTCACTTGTGGGATGTGTTTACGTGGGCTGAATCTGGCATGACATCTGAACATGCTATTATCACAGTCACACAAATTACAGGTCATCAGTGTGTGCCCTCTCTGTAAAAACCCTGATCAAGCCTCCATTTATCACCCGTGAATTAATAATGTCACAGCTTAATTACAGCATATCAGTTTGTGCCAACTTACATACTGCTACACTGCAATTATTGCAACATACAGTACTAATAAACACCGACTTCAAGTCAAAGGACTAAAAATACGTGATGTGGCCAATATACCAGGTCAGCCTCATTGGAAATACAAGCCTCAGCCTTGACTTTTTGGAAAACGTAAATTACTGGGTTCATCAGGGTTTAGATGTCCAATAGAGGGCGCTGTATAAATGTTTCAAATCTGACATTTGTAACTTATGGTATGCTTTGTTGTATATTTATGATACATGTTCTTACACATCCATGAAAATGCAAGATCTGTCATAAAGATCACCTTGTACCCACTGATGTAAATTCTTCCTATACACAACCAATAGCATTTCCAAAAGCAAATGTGAAAGATAAGTGCACTGTGAATATGTAGTTTTACCTTGATTTTGCATTGCTTTCATTTCTCTTGAGTGCTTCACTGGACTCGAATCTGAGTGCTCCGCATCACAAGTACAACACTGTACAAAGTAAGCTACCAATCAAACTGGCCACACCACAAAAGTTGTCCATATAGAGATAGATTGGAGCGGCAAACATATCACAGGTAAATAGACAGTTGATTTTTTGTCATTTTTATTTTGGTGTGGTGCAAAGAACTACATGAAAATAATGCTTTATTCAACAATAATATATCATTAGTGTGCAAAGGAACAAAAGTTGTTGGCATCGATTTTCCCCCTAGCGTTTGTTTTACCTAGAAACCACAGCCAAATGGATGTTGAAGCATGTTTTTGCAGTTTCACAAAAATGTTGGCTGAAGCATATTTCCAATGAGCTTGTGTTGCATTATACACCAGAGAAAATACACATTTTTTTCTTATTGCAAACACAGTTTCTGCTCCTAAATCCAGGCTTTTAGAAAGTCAATGATCAGTGATTACTCACTACTGAAATGCTGTGTCTGGCAGGTTATAACAAGTGATGTTTAGAAAAATGTTATTTACCATTATTTCCATTGCTGTCCATCGTGAAGTCCCCCAGTACATGGACATGCCTTGGTTTATCACGTAGGTCATGGCTCTGACAATCTCTGTGGAGACAAAAATTCAGCACCCTTGTTAAAAACAAGCAAACACAACTATTACGAATGTACACTTCGCTTTAAAAATTGTTGCTGCCATAATTTAACAGTAATTCCAACATATATTACATTAAACTTAAATAAAACATTAAGTTAAAAGTTGAAGCATGATTATTTTAATAAGTTAAAGTAACCTAATATCCTATATTGTCATGACTTATTGGTCTTATTATTTTTCTTCATTGTTTACGTGTATTTTAAATCTTAAAAGTAAACATTTCTAAAATATTTTATATTTAGAAAGAATACAATGAACATCTGTAAAATGTTAATGGCTTAAATCTAAAAAATTTTATCATGCTTCAAAGAAGTGACTAACATGCATCTGCATTACTTGGTTATTATTTTAAGTGTTAATTCCATTTAAGTTCCATTTCAAGAGTTTACCCGTAGCTGATGATTGATAATAAAGCTTGTTTAGCATGCTGTCCCACAAGAAAGCCCTGAGTTTATAAGATCCTCGAGCACTGGGCTCCCTCTTGTTAGCAGGGCGAGAGAAGAGTTTAAGCTCAGGTAGATCTAGATGAACTACCTCGACTTGTAAATGGCTAATTAAAGATTGTAGGGATACTACTTATTAAGAGATCATCTATAGTGGTAAGTTATAGGTATATCATATGTTTTTGGACTGTAGGAGGAAACCCGGGAACCTGAGGTGGGGGGGGGGTGTGTAACCATGCAAGCATGCGGACAACATGCAATCGCTGCACAGAAATGTCAACTGGTTTAGTGGGGACTTTAACCTGTGACATTCTTGCTGTAAGGCAACAGTGCTAATCACTGGGCTACCATGTCACCCAATCTAGAAAAAGGAGGGAGGAGTAGGGGTGGGAGGGGGGATTCTTCAAGACTAAGGTATTAAGGTAAGAAACTCTGGTTATTTATAGTAATTTAGGAATCTTCTGATTGGTGAATCCTTACTCTCAATATCACTGAAGTCAAATTAGCTTAGTAGCTTAGCTTAGTTAGAAAAAAGTAAATACACTTACTAATAAGTGTTTATTTTGCAAGGCAGTTGAATTACCAAAACGTCTCATACTCTTGATAATTTATGATAATTCAAGTTCAAACATGTGAAACCACATTTACATGCTGAACACTTTTCAGATCGTTTGTAAATTTAGTGAATCTTTAAATCAAGACTCACTCTGAATGGATCACTTGAACCAACGTGTTTAATCGTGAGCAGATGTTAGTCCACTTCACAAATTAATTTGTGTATTGTTCAGTGCACCTAACGAACCAATTTAACTGGCTAAATGAAGAAAAAAAAAATCTTGTTCAAAAATTAAACATCACCATTTCATATTTGAGCAGTTAATTATTTTCCCCCTTTAAAATAACATTTATTGAGCTTAATTTAAAAAAATGTAGTAGATTAAAAAGTACAATATGTAGAATTGGAATAAAATAAATGAACTTATGAAAGGACGAATTAAGTACTTCTCATGTTTATGCAAAAAAAAAAAAAAAAAAACTAAAGATCAGATAAATGCTTTTAAAAATAAGTTTACAATCTAATACATTTTAATTTAATTGCAATCAACCTCCAATTAAGTTTCCAAAACCATTACAGCACTATTGAACATAGTTCCTATATAAATAAAATTGGCACATGTAAATGCCATCCAACAGATCACACAAGAGAATCAGCTATTCATTTAAATAGCATTCAAATTTTAATTTGCATATATGTACAAATTTATGCAAACTCTAATGGACAATAATGCCCACAAGATTGTGTGTTGGATGAGGATTAGGATTTGAAGTACAAACACTGATAAAAATATATACATATTTATCATTAACTAAATGCATCTTTATGCAAACATTTGAGCTAATTTCTTAGCAAGACAAATCTGTGAAAATTAGCAGGCCTCCGTATTACTAGAAGGTTTGAGGTTCATTTAAAAAAAATGTGGAGTGAGGTAACTTTGACTGACAGGGCAGTTTAAGCGCAGCACATTAAAGATGCATTAAAAGGTGAAGTAGTATATCCCAAAGCTTGCCTACTTTTCTTTTAAACTCAAATGTATGAAGCCTACTTTTTATTCACAAAATGAAAACACATTTTTTGGGTGTTATATAAGTTGTTGGCTGCAGTGAACCATTCTTTATATACAAAAAGGTAACTAAATAAAAATCAAGTGATTCGAATCAGAAACCAATAAAAGGATAAAATATAATTAAAATTAAAAATGAATAGAATAAAATAATTATTCAATAAAATGAAATAAATAAATAGAATAGAAAATAATAGTAAATAGCAAATGAATAGTAAATAAAATAAAATATAAATAAATCAAATAGAAAAAATAAAAAATGTAATAAAATAATAAAATAAATAGTAAATAATATAAATAAAACCGAATAAAATAAATAGAATAAAAATAAATAAAATACAACATAAATAAATAAACAAATAAATAAAAGTGAAAATAATTAGAAAATATAATAAATAAATAAATAAAATAAATAAAAAATAAATAAATAAATAGTTACAAAAATAAACACCAAAGAGACTACTGGAAACTTTATTTTAGTCATATGCTAATATGTTGGGCAAACATGCTGGAGCTGCTGCATTATGAACAGTTCATCTTTTATTTGTGCCTCATTTATGCTGAAAATTCAGAAGCAGTCAAAAAAATAGCCTATTATTTAAAAAGCAGATTTAGTGGAAATGAGCTCTGTGCTGTGTGATTGATTCTTTAACAACAACCCTTTTCTCTACACATAAACATATTTCTATAATGGACTATTTGCTTAGTGATCCACACAGTTCAGCTTAAGAGCTTGATGCCTTTCTGCTGCATATGCTCTGATGCTAAAGAAAACTTTAAAACAACTAAAACTTAAAACAACTAAAAATAAGAACTGAAGTACTTTAAGTACTCACTATTGATTACTAGCTTATTACTTGCTCATTAATAAGATATTGGCTGATTATTAAAAAGTATGATCTAATTCTACAACCCTAATCAATACCTAACCCAAATTTCTACCTTATTTACTATCCATACGCAGCAAAATAGTTCTATATAAAGCTAAAGATCTTAGCTATTGGTTTATAAATAGCAGGGATTTTAATCATTATTTTTAATATGGCTTTTATTTGGTTCTTTAATTGCATATTACATTGTGTTTTGGAGTTAAAGCAATGTCTAGAAACTCAATTTCCAGTCTTTTGTAATAGCATTACTGAAAAGCTGTAGTAAAAGTCTACTATTTCCTCTAATTTGCTTTCATTTGTTTCATTGATTTTGTTTTGTTGACTCTAAGCTAGGGTTGACTTAAGTTCATATACTGTACTTTTGTGTGGTTTCACTCAACCCTGTAAATGCACTCATGAGGAATAAATGAATGATAAAGTACAGTCTAACTTTACATTCTCTTCAGCTTTTACCCTTCAAGCTGATGAAATGGTAATCAGGTACAAAACAAAAAGGCGAGGAGCACAGGACCAAGAGAGTCAGGGGACTGCAGAGCCACGGAGGAACTTTAATATGCACTGCACACAGTGTGAGGAGCCAGCGCTAAACTCTGGACACTATGCGCATCAATGCAGCAGAAAAGCACTGCATAGCGATCTGCCTGCCCATGTCTATGAGACAGACAGCTTAAGAGAGGCATCAGTGCTTGTCATATATGCTTAAAGAGTTCAGATGCAAAATTATCTAAGTGACATTTGTAATTGTAATTTAAAATTATTGTATTTAAATTCAGTAGTTTGTTTCTATAGTGAAGAATACTGTTTTTATTGTCTTTAAAGAAACTGACCAAAGCATAGGAGGCTGAGAAAAAAAATGCCAATTTTGCATGCTTTTGGATTGAAAATCTTCAAGAGTTGATTAAACAAACCAGGTAGAAGACATTTTTGCTGAAAACAAGATTGTTTTTGGTTGTTTCTTGCATGTTTTATGGAACTTCTGTCCAGTCAGAGGGGCTAAAGCCTGAGACACACCAAGCCAACATCAAAGAACTAGCAATGCAAAAACAAACTGTGTTGCCACCTTGCATTGGCTGCAGCTGTGCATGAACACACCAAACAAATGACAGCTAGCTTAAATAAGATTGTAAGGTCTGTACCTGCATGAAAGGATTTATATTTACTCGCAGGTGACAATACTCACATCGTTTCACAAAGTGAAACCAGAACTATTGTCATGTCCACAATAATACATTTTACTTAATACATTTTTCCCGAAGTATGTTCATTTCTCTCTGTTTTGGCCAGAGACAACATTTTTAATTAATGAAAACATAAATTTTTGAAAATGTAAGAATGTAAATTATAATATGTATTCGTTTACGTGGCGACGCAGTGGCGAAGTAGGTAGTGCTGTCGCCTCACAGCAAGAAGGTCGCTGGTTCGATCCTCGGCTCAGTTGGCATATCTGTGTGGAGTTTGCATGTTCTCCCTGCGTTCGCGTGGGTTTCCTCTGGGTGCTCCGGTTTCCCCCACAGTCCAAAGACATGCGGTACAGGTGAATTGGGTAGGCTAAATTGTCCAGAGAGTGTGTGTAAATGTGTGTGTGGATGTATCCCAGAGATGGGTTGCAGCTGGAAGGGCATCCGATGCATAAAAGTGTGCTGGATAAGTTGGCGGTTCATTCCGCTGTGGCGACACTGTATTAATAAAGGGACTAAGCCGACAAGAAAAATAGATAAATTCATAAAATAAAGCCATTTTGGTGTTGCAGTGTGGACTGTGAAAACGGAAGCTTTAGAAAACAATGACGCCTTGTAGTTATGTGACCAATTCAGCTAATATGGTTGACAAGATTGTAAAGTCCATTTTGACAGCTTTATTAAAGATTAATGTCAGTTTGTATATTCACCATATAGTCTCTATTCAAAGGATACAGAATGTTTACTGGAACTATTGTTCAATGATGGAAGCAGATGACAGATGTTTTACAGACATGGAGCTGAGATTTTTGTTTGAG